GGTAGAGGTGGTAATTTGAAGTCCTGAAAAGAAAAATCATGCATGTGGTTATAGTCATTTAAAAAGGAAATAAGAAACTTCATCTACTGACAGGGTACAAGTATGCAGTACGGCACAGGTGCAGCCAAGCAAAAAGAAAAACATGAGGCAAAATAGGAAAGCACTGCCTTACCTGCTTCTCCGTTTTCGAGGCGGTTTCTCCACTGTGCCAGTCAGTCTACAGACCAAACAAATGAGACAGTAACTAAAAGTAACATACAAGAAAACATCTCCCTGCGCTACCGTGCCAGTCAAGAACTACATGCACCACCCTCTAGGACCACAGGCTCGCCATCCCAGACCTGACCCTACAAATGTCTTATGCCCTGTTTCCCCTATTTACCAAAACCAAGCACTCCTGGGACTTACTGTTCCCCCAATTCCCCCTGAGCTCAAACCCTCTTGGTCCCTCACCCCATCCTCAGCCCGCTGTTCGTCACAGCCCAGCTCCCCAAAATCACCCACCTCCACCTACTCATTGTCTGCCTCGTCACCCCCGCAAGCCTCCCCAGCCTCCCCTTTCCAGTGACCACCCGCTCCCGATTGTGCACGGCCCTCCGCGCCCCGCCTTCTCCGGGCCCGGTGACCCCCGCATTCAGTGGCCCCTCCGGGGGCACGCGTGCCTTGCCCCTCCCGGCCCAGCGCCCCCAGCCTCACCCCTCGGCGCCGCTTCCCTCACACGCCCCTCTCACCTGGCCTCAAGGATGCAATCGCGCCCAGCCCGCGCCGCCGCCTCCAGGCGCCCCCGGGGTCCCCCCAGTCTGCACCCCCCGCCCCTCCGGTCTCTGCGCCCCGAATGCTCCGCGGCCCCGAGCCGCTGCCCCTGGGCCCGCTCTCCCTGGCCCCCGCCCCATCCCCAACCCCGGCCTCCACCCAGCCCCCGCCCCACCTGGGGGCCAGGCGACTCCGCGGCTGCTGGGGCTGCCGGGCTCCTCTGACCATCCGGCTCCTGCTCCGCCGCGGGAGCTGCTCCGGCGGCCGCAGGGCTCGCTCGGGAAGCTGAGGCGGCGGAGGCTGGAGTAGGCGGAGAGGCGGGAGGAGGGCCTCGCGCCTCTGCAAGGCTTGCCGCGGGGCCCGCCTCCCCCGCGCCTCTCCTTGGCTTCTATTGGCTAGAGCCGTAATGTGGACGGAAACCTGGTAGTTGATTGGACTCTCGGGCCGTCACATCCCGCGCTGCCCACCCAGAGGTTTGGTTGAGACTGCAGGTGGCGGCGGAGGTGCCTTACAGATTGCTAGCAGGGCCCGAGGAGACCCGGGCGCCACCATCCGCCGGAAAGTAGGAACTGCACCCCCGGCACCAGACACCTGCCCCAGGTTCTCCTGGCTGTACGTCCTGCATCCCACACACCTGCGGGCGCCCCCATACCTCTGCACCGCTCCAGGACCGAAAGCAAGCCTGAAATATCCCAATTTCCTCTAGCAAGTGCGACAGTGAAGCAACTCTCACAAACGTGCTTCCTTTAAGCCACCTCGAATGCGATCCCTGTCCCTACATCTTGCTGAAATTGTCTCACAGCTCACAGCTACCCCTTAAATAGGATCCAGCCAGAAACTGTAAGAATCTACCAAAATAATGCATGGTTTGGCTGCTCAAACCTCTGCAGAAAAGATCACTAGCTTCGGTGCCGGCTTTTAAGAAAGAGATTTTTTTTTTATTACAATGAAAGAAAAATCAACACTGCAAACAGAACCGATGCCATACTAAAAGCAACGTGTTCCATTTTGAAAGGCCTGAACAAATTTGATCCCTGAGTGTGAGCTAACCATCCTGATTCTGTGACCATTACAAGTTCTACACCATTTAATCAATTTTAAAGTTTTACTGTATTTTTGACAGACAAGCATGCAAAACTCCCTGTCATAAGCATAATTAGCTTTCGTCTTCTGCTTTAACAAAGCCATCCTTGAAAATAAGACTCAGCTCATTAACATATTATAAAATTCTTGAAGGTGGGAAGGACTCTCTAAATCTCTACTCCTGTGTGCATTTGTTTGGTAAATTCTTAGCATCTGTTCAGAGTTGGGAGGAGGCATAAAACTTTCTGTTAAGCCACTTCCATTTTATTAGAACATCTTTTATGCCTCAATAATATGACAGCCTCGATTATTACATGTCAACATTGGGGTGGGGAGAATCTCTCATCGATCTCCATAAATGGCAAAAATTAGATTCGTTTTTCACAAAACCAAATGTATTTGGTGTAAAGATCTGTCTTTCCTTCAGAGATGGTCCTTCCTACATTTTTAAGGGTAAAATGACTTTCCATTTATGAAGTAATACTGATGGTAAATTGTAGTGGGATTTGAAAAATTGCTTTGACAAGGAAAAAATTGTCAAATCTGTTGGTCCCCCAAATTAGTATTGTATGTAATCCTAAAGTCACAGAACCACAAATCACCTCAATCTCAACCAAGATTCCACCCATATTATCAAGCCAGAGAGAGGAAAGAACTCTAGAGTAATTTGTGTCAGATGCAGGGGGATCATAAACTCACTAGGGAAGTAATCTTGAAATACATTTATTACATTCCTTATTAAAAATCCAGGCCAGACGTGGTGGCTCACACCTGTAAACCCAGCACTTTGGGAGGCCGAGGTGGGAGGATCACCTGAGGTCGGGAATTTGAGACCAGCCTGACCAACATAGAGAAACCCCACCTCTACTAAGAATACAAAACTAGCTGGGCATCATAGCACATTCCTGTAATCCCAGCTACTAGGGAGGCTGAGGCGGAGGTTGCAACGAGCCAAGATTGCACCATTGCACTCCTGCTTGAGCAACAAGAGCCCCTCCGTCTCAAAAACAAACAAAAAAATCCACTGCGTGCTTTTTAGCGTCTTCCATAATTGACCAATCCTCACTGCTATGTGGCAGATGTCAACAGAACAGAAGCTATTCATTTCTTATGCCTTCCCAAAAAGTATCGAGTCTTCATATTGTGTCCAAATGATCTCTGCTTGTTTTTACTCTGTAAGACATACAAATCCTATCATTCCAGTCCACATTTAATTCACACTTCCTCTTTTATCTTCCCCAATTACTCAATCCTACGTCAAACATTTCCTTCTCCAAATTTATTGTACGTAAAAAATCTACACTATGTTAGCAATTATAGATTGCCTTGGATTATTCTTCCCAACTACAATGAATTTGAACAAGTGGTGTATGCGTATGAGCCCTTAAAAAAAGGCAGCTTTGGGCCAGATACTGGGTGCTTTGTATGTCCTATTTTTGATACTGAGATTAACCCTGATAGTCTCTTATTTTAGACACAGAAATTTAAGATTCAGAAAATTCAGTTTATTCAGGGTCACACAGCTACAATAACCAATACTGCTTAAAATAGAGGGCTAAAGATATACTCTGGTGTGCCCTCCAGGGATTCAAGTTCCAGCTTTCCTGTGCAACCTTAGACAAGTCACCTATCCTTTCTAAGCCTATTTCCTCATCTGGGGAGAAAAAGAAGAAAAAAGGTTCTACAGAAAGATGAACAAAATTTCTTTTTTTTAAGTTTGAGCTGGGCATAGTGGCTTATGCTTGTAATCCCAGTGCTCTAAGAGACCGAGATGAGAGATTTCTTCAGCCCAGGACTTCAAGACTAGCCTGGGCAACATAGGAAGACCCCATCTCTACTAAGAAAAAATAAAAACTAAAAATAATAAAGGTAATATAGTCATAGGCCCATAGCAAGGGCATCACAAAATAGAGAATGCAACAATTTAGCTACATATGCTGAATACAGGTTAGCTGCTATTACTGCATGGCAGAGCTGGATTTTCACCTAGATCTGATCCCAAAGCCTGTGCTATTCCATAATGCCTCCATGAGGACTTTTTATTTTTTTGAGACGGAGTCTCTGTCACCAGGCTGGAGCACAGTGATTCAATCTTAGCTCACTGTAACCTCCACCTCCCGGGTTCAAGTGATTCTCCTGCCTCAGCCTCCTGAGTAGCTGGAACTACAGGCACATGCCACCATAGCCAGCTAATTTTTCTATTTCTAGTAGAGACGGGGTTTCACCACGTTGGCCAGCACAGTCTTGATCTCTTGACCTTGTGATCTGCCTGCCTTGGCCTCCCAGTGTTGGGATTACAGGTGTGAACCACTGTGCCCGGCCCATGCAGTCTTTTATAACCCACCATTTAAATACAAAAGCAAAGTGCTGCTGAGCATAGTGGGTGCCTCGGGATTGAGTGGAATATACTTAACGTATTTTTGTTGACAACACAAAAGAAATCTATAAATGTCATGCATTTTTGAATTAAGAAAACATTTGAATGATCTGAGTCAGCATAAGCCTACTCTCATGAGGGTAAGAAAGGCACAAATTCACCAATAGATTGACAGGGAAATAGAAAACTAACAGGAGGGGAATGCAGAACCAACCTTCCCCAAGCATCTAGTGTGTCTGGCATCATGCTAGGGGACTTTCCAAATGTTTCTTTTTGGTGGTTTACTACTGCGTATTTCATCAGCATTACTGCACACTGTAAATACACATTTGAAAGAGTTGTGATGATCTCATGAAGCATAGTTCTGGGCACTGGATCGAGGTTGTAACAATAAACATTGCCTTTAAAGAACTGGAACACTTAGCAAAGTCAAATGCAAAACAAAAGTTTCACTGTTGTTTACCAGTCAAGCAACCACATGGAGGAATAAGCATTTTTTTAATTTCTTATATAAAATGCTAACTTCTCATCAGGACATACTACAGACTATGCATTAAATTTTTTGACAAACCTCCTAGAATCTTTTTATTAATTTACACTGAGGGAATAGAGCACCTTTCATCCAAAGAACTGAAGGTGCTTTACAATGGTTAGCATTTAAAAAACAAATACATTTAAAAAATCTGTATTCTTGCTGTTAAATCTCTTCGACTCCAGATACATAATTTCCTGGAAACTGATAGAAACCGATTCTATTTCTGACAATGAAAGAGGCTCAGAAAGAGTCCTGATTTGCTTTCACAATACAGGCATTTTCCAAAACCTGGTGCTGGGCTTACAAAGCAAACACACACAAATCTTAATGCAATGAACAATATTTCAAACCTTATTTCCAAAGCAAAACCTAGGGCTTAAGACGTCAAAATCTTCCAACAGTTCTAGACATCCAGACAGAACAGGAGCTGATGCAGGTTGCACATGAGATGTACTGCTGATCCGGGCATTTTAGGGTCACATCCAAATGAACATAAAGTAGTGAAACTTTTTGGGGTAACACATTAACTTATAAAAAGCTGGCCAAAAGCATATCGGTCATATGAGGAAAGGGAGTAAATGGCAATTCAAAGTAGACAGTTCTCACTAGAGCCTAGGGCACTTTATTAGAAACCAAGTATATCATAGGCAAATAAAAATAGTTCTTGCCCCCATTGATACAACATAAGGGATTTTACATTCAGCCTAGATACAGGGAGTAACAAATCCTCCTGCCCGTAAATCTATGACTTGCAAGTATCTTCCACCACATGATTACTCTATATAGTACATAGCCCTTATTTATTAGAGGCGTCCAAAATATTCCTTGTAGGCTCACAAAGTCCAATACATTCGCTCTCTCTTCCCTTTACACGTCTAATAGTAAAAACTATTTTTTCCATGCAAAAAGCCATTATTCAGTTGAAGAGAAATCAGACAAAACAGAGATGGCAGTTAAGGAATGGAGAGAATATTATTGGCACGTGCCCAACTAGTGACAAACAAATGTAGTACACAAGGACTTAAAAATAAAAGTCACATTATAGGGATAACAAAAACTACATCAATCTAAGCTAAGGAGTGTCCAACAGGAAGGCAGGGCTGGGAGTTACCGGTCCTATTGGTACAATTTAAGTGGAAAGCAAGCACTTAAATACAATTTACGGTAACAGGAAAAAAAAAAATACTGCAGAGAGCTGTTCAAAGACTGCACCAAGTTGTCTGCATCATTAATTTCCAGTGTTTCACAATTAGTAAAATACATAGCTACATATCCCTGTAAGATAAAAATACCTTTCCACCTGAATTACACTGGGGTCAGGGTGATAACACGAAGCTACTGACCC